TCTGTCTGTCTCTGTCTGTGTCTGTCTGTGTCTGTCTGTGTCTGTCTGTGTCTGTCTGTCTGTCTGTCTCTATCTATCTATCTATCTATCTGGTTAATCGACTGTTGTACTGAGGCATTTGGAACGGTCAAACAAGCCATCCTCCTTGATGATGATGATGCTGCGAGACTTGCGCGATGGAAAGCCTGTCAAGGAAAGCTTTGAGGGCCGCTTTTTGCATATTATCCAGTGACGATACCAAGAATAAAGAACTGACAGGGTTCGCCAACCGGCGATGCCCTGGGGGGGGACTGCGCGTATCCGCAGACTCTCTGCACAGCAAAATCCGACGATTAGCACATTGCAAAGTCCTGATTTTGAAGAAGCCATATAAGCCTAGGTGGTGCTAGAAATGTCGGCCGCAAACCGACATGTTGAACATCACGTATGCATTTACTTGAAAAAATGTCAAAAGCAGAGCAAAAAGGATCAAAAATGGCGACTGCAAAGCAAAGGGGAGAGGGTGTGACACGGCAGCTTCGAAACCCAGGAAAAAAAACTAGCCCACAGCCAGAGGAGTAGAAGGCGCCCCCATGCGACAGCCTTGGCCCATATCGTGCTGCGCCCAAAAGCGGCCAGCCCACAGCCACAGCCTTAGCCCACAGCCAAATCCACTGAGAGACAGCAAACAACCGCCCATGCTAGGTCCCAGTTAAGAACGGTTGGGCTGGGCAAAGGTAATGTTGGAACCCATCTAGTTAAGAATGGCTAAGCTAAGCTGGGCAAAGGTGATAGTTCCACCCTGCGGTGTCCCGGGCGCCGCCCGGCTTAGGAAAAGCTTAGCCGGGGTCGGCGGATTTGTTTGTGTCATGTCTATGTCCTAATGCAGGATCCTGCGTACGCCGCTGCCATTGGGAGCAAGGCAGGTCATCCTGGTAATGATTGCAAGCGAAAGTAGTTGAAAGTGGGACATGTTTCAATTCAGAAATTGATTGCAACGCATGGTCAGTTCTGCAATCTAAAATCACTCAAACAGACAGTAGAGCTCATTTGGCGCAGTGGCACCTGTTCTTGTCACTCATTGGAACAAACATGCTTTCGTTCCATCTCCCCAGGTACATGAACGAGAACTTCGAGATTCTGCCAAGGATTCCTCGTGCGTTTTGACAGTTTTCGTGCATGTAATCAACTAGTGGCGCGCAATGAGTG